TGTTGGGCGGGGGGGGCAGCGTGGGGGGGGGGGGTGTTCAGACACAGCTGGCTTCAAAGCTTGGCTGGCACACGCAGGTCTACACCGTCATTCAAAGCATGTTTAGCAGAGATCTTCGATAGTCCTTGCACCAACGTTCACAAACACCAAGCTGGTCTTTTCACGGCTTCGGGATGAGCGACAGTTTGCTGTCCTGCTTTCTTGTTTGAGGAATTAGATATGGTCAGAGCCTTGATGACAGAAAGACCCATCAAAACTGAAAGTGATCCATCATGAGTGATTATTCAGTCACGGAAGAAGGAAAAAAAAGCGACATTTTAAATCCTCTGGTTGATGTGCGTCAAAAAAAAAAAAAAGTGCTGTGCTTCCTAAAGCTTGATAAGCAGTCCAACTCTGGGTAGATTTCGAAAATCAGCCCATTTTTCAGAGCAAGTCAGAAAGGTTATGGTCAGTTCAAGAAGAAATGGAAAAATTAGGTATCTGCCAGCAATTGGTAACTCCAAGTTGATTTCAAAGCAGTTAATACAAAATGCGGTTGTCTTTGTAAGCCAAGAATAGATTCAACTCAATATAGAATAGATATGGCTCCAGTCTCCATGTAAGTTTAATGATCTCCCAAATGTGTATTTCCTCCCTCTTGATAGTCACAGCTTCAGGTCTTCTGCCAGTCGTCATTCCCCTCTCCTCATGCCTGGCCGAACCCCCCCAGGAAGCCGCATCACGGCGAGCGCGACGTGGGCCCGTCTGAATTTGCTGCAAGATGTCACCATAACCTGACACACTTGCCAACTTGTCTCGTGTAAAAATCCCACATGATGAAAGCAGTTTTCTTTTCCCTCTGTGGAGGAGGACGCAAGTTGTTTTCAGAGTGGCCCGTCAGCATGAATATTTAACCGGAATCTCTTGCTGTGTCGTTGTCACAGTTCAAGTTTCAGCGCTGTCCTCGGCGTGGTGCACAGACTGACATGTTTTCTCATCTGCAGCTTTTCTTCGTCTTTAACGTCTGTTTCCTGCCGGGACATGTTCTCTGTGGCATGATTTGTTTTCCGCTTATGTCACATTTTGGGTTTTAGGAGACCCTCCCATATACAATCATCCACCCAGTCTCTCCTTAGAGGAAAACAGTCAGTCTCAAATACCTTTTAGCCCGTTCTGTCCTTTGCAGTCCGCTTTCCAGTGTCCATCGGGCAGCAAATCTTCTGTGACCCTTCCCTCGTGCTATTCCCGTCACTTTCACAACTCTGGTCCACCTCTCACCTTCCTCACCCTCCAGCAAGGTGATTCACTTGGCCCACTGTGTGAAAGTCACTGGCTCTCGCTTGCGTCCTCCTTCCTCATCCCTGTCTGAAGACCGTTCACGTCTTTCAAGGTCCGCTCTCTTTCTTTCACTGTGTCTCTCTCATTTCGCCTGGATCTCACTCTAGCCCCCTCCTGCATACAAAACACACAGTATTCGAGCTGCCGTGAGTCATACTGATCTCTCCTCCCTTTTTCTTCCAGGAGCTAATAACTGCCCATTTTTAAGGTCTCCTCCCAAGAACTTGCCCGCAATTGTCAGTATGTATTTTATTCATCCCAAGAGCCACAATGATGTCTTTGCATCCGGCCGAACCAGACGGATTGAGTATATTTCTCTCTGTCTCCGGGTTTTTAAGCCTGTCGGGTACATTATAAGTGGTCTCCTCCTCTCTAGTCCGCTCTTGGAGTGTGTGTTCAGTAGTACAAGTATTCCTTCAGTGCCGCTTCACTCTTAGGGAAAACAGAGAAGAAGATAGAGCAGTGAGCCGCGCTCGATGAACGGCGCAGCAGAGAGACTCTAAATATATTAGAGTTGAAGGATGTGGAGATGAATAAAAGAAAAGAGAGTGATGCCCTCGGGATCTGTGGAAGTGACTGAGAGAGGAGGGAGAATTCAACGGTGCAGGAGGCATGCTCGTGTGGGTGGAATGTTGAGGAGATTGTAAAATGGATATGAAGAGAAGAGAGAGGGGGAGCTTTCCTGCCAGCAGAAGGAGAGCGATGGATAGATCTGTAAGGTTAGATGAGAGAGGGAGAGATGAAGACATATGCAAAGACTTGGATGGATGGATGGCTACAAGTCTGGATAAGTTGACTGCTTTTCTTACATCCAAGCAAATCCATAAAATACCCAATCAGGTTTTTATTAGTCAAAAGTATTCAGATGTTTTTGTTTTTTTTTTGAGAAATGTATTGAATATTTTACCTGAATATGAGTCCTGTCATGCTCTCTGTCCTCATTGCTTGTCCTCATCCTGCTGTCTGCTCCTGCATGCAGCGCCAGTCTGTGCTATCTCTGAAATGCAGCATCCCTCTCCCTGCCTCCGCTGCCCGCCCTCCTCTCGACATCTCTCTCTCTCTCTCTCACTTTCAACCCCACACATCTCATATTTGCCCCGCTCCGCCTTTATTTTCTCTCCTCTCCATCCATCCGTCCTCCGTCACCTTTTATTTGTCTTTCCTGCAACCGCTGTCCCTCTTGGATCACAACACAACCTCAACCGGTCTATATACACCCTTTGCCCGCCTTTTGGTCTTGATCATTCCACCCGCCCCTTCCTGCAAGCGAGGAAGCTTCTAGAACAGCGGCGGCAGGCTCTAAAAGTGGAAAGCTTTCTGAACATGTGAACACCATTCACAATCCTGCCACATGAATTAAACACTCCCAATACATTCACATTGTAGTTTATGCATGACCATGCAGAGTAAACACGAGCTGACTGCCGCGTGCTCCATCTAGCGTTCCAAAACAAATGGAAACGTAGCAAGCGGAGTGTTTGTAGCATACCGTATGCATACCCGAGCAACCCTGTGGCAACATCCATAATGAAAGAAGCTTCTCTGCAGCGTGAGACCACAGCTGTAAATCACTGAAAGAATACACTGAGATAAACAGACCTCCCCATGTAGAGCGCCATCATATAACACACGTCCATAAATACAAACTACAGTTCAGGAAAGATTTCCTCATTTAAAATGGAAATAATGTTTGGCAAAGATTGACGAAATCATTGAACAATTAAGTATTAGCCCCATTTGGGTTCTCTGACCATAAAGTGTGTGTGCCTATGTTTACAGTATGTGTGCATGTGCATGAGTGCTTTTGTATATTTATTAGAATTGTGTATTTCCATGTGTTTGTTCGAGCGGTCCCACTAGCCTCAAGCATCACCCATCTGTGCAGCCAGTCAACCAGTGTGTGTGTGTGTGTGTGTGTGTGTGTGTGTGTGTGTGTGTGTGTGTGTGTGTGTGTGTGTGCGCGCGTTCAGGTTCAGGGGGGTT